AAAAAACAAACATAAACATAAACACAAACAAGACCAACAACCAAAACTAACCACAAACAAACACAAACACAAACAAAACACAACCACAAACAACCAGAAAAAATACACAAACAAGCATACACAAACACAACCACAAACAACCAGAAAAAATGCACAAACAAACACATTTTCCTCCCGAATCCCCCCTCCCGCCTCCTTACCAGCCATCGCCTCCTCCGCTTTCCCCCGACAAGAACATTTTCCTTGTCGGGCCGCGCAATTACACGAACATACCCCCCCCCCCCCCCCCCGACCGGACTGCCTGAGGTCGGCGATCGAGACCAGCTAAAAGGACTATTAAAAGCTAATTTATTATTCACTATCATTGGACTTCATTGGAAACACGTGCATGGATGCATAATATCTGCATGTTATTATTTTTTATGTATCTTTGAGGATTTTTTATATATTTTTTTTTATTTCAAGCTATTTTTTTTTCATCGTTATGTCTAAAATGAATTTAAATCAATAAATGTTTCGGTTCCCCCCCCCCTGGTCAGGCTATTTTGTATGCTCTAATTTTTGACTCTGTCTGTCACTCTGTGTGTCTGTTCGTCTGTGTATCTGCTGTCTATCTGTCTGTCTGTCAGTCTATCTATCTGTCTATCTCTCTGTCTGCCTGTCTGTTTATCTGTGTCTGTTCGTCTGTGTATCTATCCGTCTGTCTGTTTGCCTCTCTGTTTGTCTGTCTGTCTCTCTGTCTGCCAGTCCGTCTATGTGCCTGTCTGTTTGTCTATCTGTCTGCCAGTCTGTCTATCTATCTTTCTGTCTATCTGCCTGTCTGTTTATCTGTCTGTCTATTTGTCTTTCTGTCTGTCTGTCTGTCTATCTGCCTGTCTGTCTGTCTGTCTGTCTGTCTGTCTGTCTGTCTATCTGTCTTTGTCTGTTTCTGTCTCTCTGTCTCTCTCTCTCTCTCTCTCTCTCTCTCTCTCTCTCTCTCTCTCTCTCTCTCTCTCTCTCTCTCTCTCTCTCTCTCTCACTTAATTTTACCATTCAATAAACATATTCAACATTCTATTTATGCGCGTTGATATTAATCTTATCTATGATCAGAAAAAAAAAGAAAAAACTCATATGTGTGAATATGCATGTGGGGGGTGGGGGAGAGACGGGGAGGGGGGGAGAAGGGGAGGGGGTGTGAAGGGAAAGGGGAGGGGGGGGGGGAGTTGAGGGGGAGGGGATGGAAGGAAGTGAGGAAGGAAGGAATAAAGGAATGAGGGAGAAGGAGAAGGAGGAGGGAAGAAGGGGGGGAGGGGAGGAAGAAGGAGAAGAGAAAGAGGAAAATGAAAGGCAAGGGAAAGACGGAGGGGAAGGAGAAGGGGAAAGGATAAGAGATAAGAAAGGGGGAAAATGAAGGGAGAGAAAGGAAAGGGGAAAGGATAAGAGATAAGAAAGGGGGAAAGTGAAGGGAGAGAAAGGGAAGGGAAAAGGGAGAGGAAAAGAGACACGAAGATAAGAAGGAACAACAGGGAGGGGAAGTTAAAGAGAGGAAAAAAGAAGGAAAGAGAGAAGGGAAGAGGAGATAAAAAATGGGATTGGGAAATGGGAAAGGAATGAAATGAGGAATAAGAGGGAGAAGAAGAGACAGGATGGGGGAAGAGGAGATTGGAAATGGGAGATGGGAAGAAAGAGAGAGAAAGAGAGAGAGAGAGAGAGAGAGAGAGAGAGAGAGAGAGAGAGAGAGAGAGAGAGAGAGAGAGAGAGAG